TGGCAATGATTGAGTGTAAAAAGTAACCTATCTTTCTTCTATATTTCTACCTTTCATTTTATTTTGCTTTATCTTTGTTGTTTAACAAACAGTCAACAAGATAATTAATTACTTTGCACTGATTAACGAGGGAAACGTGTTATAAAAAGCTATAGGATTATTTTCAAGGTTAGACACGATTTTTGTATATAATTTTTTTGGCCATAAGTAGGTTTCTCCAATGAACTTTTAGAAAAAGTTTCCATGTAAGTTTAGCTGCAATACCAAATAAAACTACTTGTTTTGACAGCCGATTAATTTTCCAGATTTTACTATCTATATGTATACAAATATCTCTTTTATTTCTCATCATATTTAAAGCCATGATTTTTTGTTTCTATTTGTGAAAGTTTTTTCTTGCAAAATAAAAATGACAAATCCAAAGTTCTTTTCTCTAGGGATACTTGTTTTATTCCTCGGCTTAAACTTAAGTCATAGTATTGATTTTCCTAAAATATCTCTTCCGTCCCTGCCAAATGTTTCGTTGCCAAAGATTCCTACTCCATCAATTCCAAATTTACCCAAGGTTTCGACGCCCTTTAATAAAGGTCAGTTTGAGCATTTTCCTTTTTACAAGTATAATTATAATTATTTTCTTTTTGAAGGCGAAAAATGTTATGGCTCTTTTGGATGTTTTAAAACTTTTCCAGCAAGCAACATTTTTCAAAAAGTCATCGAAGTTGCCGGCATCGGACTTTACCCAGCTTCCCCTGAAGACATTGACGTAACATACTTTGTGTACACCTGCTCAAACCGCTTTCGTCCCTTTGTGCTTAACTGGAACTCTACTGAAGAAGATATTCGCTCTGCCCCTTTTGATCCAAACAAACACACAGTTTTCATAGTGCATGGATTCACTGATGAGTACAAGGAGATGAACTGGATGGGAGTAAGTGAACCAATGTCTGTTGTTCTTTTAGTTTTAAATTGATTTTGTTTATTTCATAGGACCTCAAAGATTACCTTCTGTCTATCAAAAATCGCCACGATCTCATCGAGGGCTCCTGTCGGCACAATGTCATCGGCGTGGACTGGAGTGAAGGCGCCAAGACGGCATTCTACCCGCAGGCAGTTGCCAACACTCAGCTTGTCGGTGCAATTGTTGCCAAATTCATCAAAGATCTGATCAGCGTACATCGAACCACGCCAGATCGCTTTACCATTGTCGGACACTCTCTCGGAGCTCATACTTCAGGCTTTGTGGGCACCCATTTTAAAAAACCAAATCAAATTAAGGTAATGTTTGTGATATTTCTTTTAAACAAGTAAGGCTAACTCATTTTCAAAACAGCTCATAATAGGACTTGATCCAGCAGGGCCTGGGTTTCACGACGTGCCTAATACACACCGGCTAGATCCTTCAGATGGAAAGCTAGTGCTCACACTGCACACGAACGGCGGCAAAATTATCGGTGACTCCTTTGGCATAAAAGAATCACTCGGTCATTACAGCTTTTGGCCAAATGGTGGAAGTGACCAGCCAGGCTGTGAAGTCACTAGAGGCATTTCAAATATACTGTTGGAAGGACTCTTCACCGGGCTGTCAAATACCATTGCATGCAGTCATCGTCGAGCGACCATTTTGGTTCAGTTCAATGAATCGCTACTTACCACAGCGCAGAGTATGGCCTACACTTGTGAAGATTATGAAAAGTTTGGGGAAGGACAGTGCGGTAACTGTTTGGCCAATCCGAATGGATGCAAGCCCTTTGGTAGTTGGTTTGATTTTTGGCACCAGTATCAATTGCCTTCAAATTGGTCAAAGCCAGTAAACTATTTTATTGATACTACAGACAGTAAGCCCTACACCACGTACCACCATCAGATGGTGGTGAGAACAAAACCATCTTTTTCCTCATTTCTCGGGTACATCAAAGTGACGCCCATTGGCGAGAAGAGAGACGCTGAACAGATCAAAATTGACCCTGGAAGGGTGAAGCCGAACTCGACGTACACTTATCTGATCAAGGTGCCCAAAAGTTTGGGTAATATTGATAAAGCTCTGGTGCGCATTAAAAATGATGGCATAGCCAACTCACTGGTGAAGGCAGTTGGATTTCAAGGAGAAAGCTTTAATCCAATGCAGGTGATTGAAGAGATACGATTCAACTTTATGAGCAACGAGGATCTGGCGTAAGATTGAAATCAAAACAAATATTATAAAAGTTTAAATTGTTTGTTTATTTTTTTAGAACAAGAGAATCAAAATCGTCTACTCTGGTACCGACAAACCGAACGGAAGTGTATCGAATTCGCAAAATCGGCTATGTTTTTGAGCCTCAAATGCCCAGAAAATAACTTGGAATGTATTTTTTAATTTTACTACATCAAAACTAAACAACAATGATGTTTATCACAAAAAGATTGTATCACAAAAAATTAATAATATTTTGTTTATTTCAGTTAAACAAAAATAATCATTTTATTCTTCAAACATGCACCGTTCAAAAGCGTCCGTGAAGATTTTATCAATAACTTGACTAAGTTTCAGTTTAGAGTCTACCGGAAACGTGCAATTTTTTGGGCTATTTGGGTTAAAAGTGTTACTGTTTTCAGCATCACTGGTTGCTGGTGCTTTTACTTCCACTTTTGGTTTTTTATTACTCAAGTTTAGTGGCTTTTCATAAGGTTTTTCAAGAGATTTTTTAAATTTGTGGGTATTTTTGTTAAAGCTGTCGTTTAAGTATGGTTGAAAAAGTGGCGCATTTGAAAAGCGAATAGGAACTGGCTTGATAGGCGTAGTTTTCTTAATTGATGGCTGTACAATGGCACTGTACAACGGTGGAAGTGACCATTGAAATGGATCTTGCAAAAATGGATTCGATTTTATTTGGCTGAAGGAGATATTTGGAGGCACCTGAAGTAAACTCAAGAAGAATGGGTCGTAGAGTAGCTTTGGATCAAAGGTTGAATGAGAAACGGAAGCAGCGGCGGTGGTGGCGGCAGCAGTCGATCGAATGACACTGGTCGGAATTGAAGTTGGTTGGTGGTGGTGGTGGAGGAAAGGGTAGTGAAAGTGTGGATACTGCAGAGCCTCCATACTGTACGGCAAGTGGTGAAGGTGTGAGTCCATAGTTTTAGAGTTAACTGGAAAATGAAAGCAGACAGCCGTCTAAAGCCAAAAAGTCTGGTTGGCGTAGAAGTGCGCTCTGAGCAAACAATGTACAAGTCTCGGTCAATTGCTGTACATCAGTGATTGCCTGACACTCTGTCGCACCTCTGGCGTCAGTACTGTCGTACAGTTGTTGTCGTGGTGGGACTGTTGTGATTGAGCGCGTTAGCCGTTTGAGTATATCCCCGCGCTATTTACTGGTGGATACTTCAATAGAGAGCCCGTGGTTTATGGCAGATTCAGTACACTGCGGGTGCTCGTGCCTGTCCTCCTGGTGAAGTATTATTGGCGAGCCAGTGCAACGCTGACGCTGTGATAAGGACGGGGGAATGAGTGCGCTTGCGGTACTTTTCAGACCATACAGGTAGTCACCGATGGAAAGGGGAGATTAGTGAAAATTGAAAATGCACAGCACAAATTAAAGTTTAATTTTGTGGGTTTCAGTTTTAATGAATGACCTTTTAAATGTTACAAAAGTTGTTGCTGCAACTTAAAATTTAAAGTAGAATTAACTTGTCTAGTAAACTATCGATTCGCTGGAAAAAAGCTCGTGAGAGATTATATTAGATTAATGTGTGTTGAGTGTCCTAATGCTGAATAAGGAGGAATTAGACTTCACTGTACTGAAGTTGTCCCGTTAAAGTGCTGCTTTGTGGTTAAAAAATAAATAATCTAACAGATGAACAAATAATTATATTTAAGTGGTGGCCCACTTGTGTTTATTTGTTTTTGGTAAGAGAAAAGTCAATTCGAAATTATTTTACAAAGCAATATAACACACTTAGCACATTTCAAATGAAACATGCGTTTTGCTCTTGATTCCATTTGCGTGATTGCAAAACTTCTTTGCAAATGGTTTGCTTTTGGTTGTAGTTCCATGCTCAGTAAGACCGACCACCTCGATGGCGTCAATGTGCATGCGGAAAAGGTGGAAGATGTCGAGGTTGTCCAGCAAACCGTGGTCCCACTCAAAATCAATTTTGCTAAGGTTCTCAGGATCCATGTTGAGAACACCTGGGTGCGAGTACGTCTGGCCAATCTTGAAGATTGCCTCCAGCTTGGTTTGGTCATTGAAACTGTAAGCCTCCTCATTGCCCGATTTGTCAACAAACTTGAGGTGCACATGGGCGATCTTGTCAAACTGCTCAAGGCCATGCTTGGCCAGGTGCATGTGAATGACATACTGGAACTCTGTAATTCATTAAGGACATGTTAGTAAGTAGGAAAAGACAGAAATTAACATTAGCACTTACTGCTCAAGAGCGGCTCGTGTTGGCCGGTGATCATGAAGAAGCGCTTTCCATTGGTGGTTTCCTCTCCCTGGTTGATGTCGCGGACAGAGTTCTTGTACTCAATATCACGGGGACCGAGGATGACGCACTTCTCACCATTGCTGCCGCAGTCGATGCATTTTCCATTCTTGAAATCGTCATAGTTGTCGCACTGGTATGCCTTTGGCAGTGGGATTGTAGTGTCGAGCGAGTCAATAAAGTAGTCCACGGCTCGCTGGTGGTTGCAGGCCACCAGTCGTCGGGCGCCTTCAGATAATCCGTGAAAAATGCTTGCAGTGAGGCGCTCCTGGTCACAGCCTGGCTGGGTTTTGCCGCCATTCGGGTACATGTCCACATGACTAGTTGTATCATCAAATGTCAGTATTTGCTTGTATAAGCAAGAAACGACGACTCTTACCTGCAGGTCTCGTACATGCCAAAGCCGACCTCCAGCAGTGGGCGACCATCAGTGTGGATGGAGTCAACAAACTTGGCATCAGTGTGCCACAGTCGGGCTGCTGGCTGAAGGCCTTCGAAGAAGGGACCGGCAGGGTCGAGACCGGTGATTCGGCCCAGAACTCCATTTCCCAGGAACTTTCCGGCATTGCCAGCAATGTGCGAGCCCAGCGAGTGGCCGATGACGTGGAAAGAGGCAGGAGTGGTGTTCTTCGCCTTGCTGAACGTCTGAATCTGAATGGCAACCATTGCGCCGACAACTCGCGTGTTGACCACTGCCTGTCCGTAGGGGAAAAAGTTGCCCTTTGGCCAGTAGACGAGCAGCACATTGACGTCTTGGTAGTCGAGGTATTTGTTCTGAAAGCAGTCAAGGTAATCATCAATAACCGTCCAATTTAAAATCTCAAAATTATTTTTATTACAACTTACCTTGAGTTTTTTCATCCAGTCAGCAAAAAGCTGATTGTCGATAAAACCATGTACAATTACTGAGAAACACATAATAATGGCAGTTGTTAGAAATTTTCATTGTCTAAAGCAAACTGTTATTTTTACCTTTCGTCTCTTTTGACCCATCAAAGTGAGATCCTTTGGCGCTCTCAGTGTTGTTCCAGTGAATGATCTCGCCAAATTCTCGGGTGCTTCGAGTAAAAAGTTCAAACTCGGGGGAAATGTGCTCGGGAGATTGAGGCAGAAAAAGGTCAGTGAAAGGCCTGTGAATTGGGTCAAAAAAATCGTGCGAGTTGAAGGTTCCAATGCCTGGGTAGGTGACAGACTTGGCGGTGATTGCTAGAACACAGAAAATGTAATTGTTAAAATTTACAAACCAATTAAAAATTTTTAACTGAATAATACCCGTTGCAACTGCCAGAAAAGAAATAATTGACAAAAGTCGAGCCATGATTTGTTTTTTGTTTTTGCAGGCAATCCAACAGCTGGTTGTGATCGATCCACCAGTTGTTACGGATTTCCTTTTATAGGTAAATCGATCACCTGAACATTGAGCAACGATACTCCCACAAATTAGTTATTTTGGACTTTAATCAACTGACTGTTGTTGTCCACTTGAGGCGTGATATCCTCAAGGCTTGATAGGGGTGATTTACCATCTTAGATATAACTAGAGGATCCAATGGAATGACTGAAAAGGACTTGGGTACAAGATTGGATTAGATAGACTAGGTGATACCTGGTGGAGGATTTCTTTTTCTCAGCTTTTTAGTCCAACTTTTTTTTGGTTATTCCTGGTTGCCATCTACATTAGGGTAAAGTTTAACTCAAACCACCCTGTCACTGCTGTACTCGACAACAGAGACAGAAAATATAATCAAAATGGGAATGACACAATCTTGTCTAAATCTTGGACTGGAGGGCAAAACGTCGAGTTGCTGCTTACGTGCAGGCTATCTGCCAAAATTGCAAACTTGTTTTGAACTGTTATTTAAGACAAAATTGGTATTAATAATAAGCATTTGGGCGCAAATGGACTGAATCCAGGTAAACAATTTTGATTTACGTCACATATTATATTTGAGTCCAACTTTATTTACCAACAATCTTATTGTGATTACAAAAAACGAATAGTGAACAAATATTTAAAAAATGCCTAAAAACTTTTTATCTTTGTCTTCGTCCTTGAACTTGTGACCACATCGAGGGCATTCTTTCATGTCCTTGTCCTTATCTTTGTCTTTGTCCTTCTCTTTCTCTTTTTCTTTTTCTTTTTTTTCTTCTTTTTTCGAATCTTTATCCTTATGGTCCTTGTGATCTTTTCGATCATAGTCTCGCTCCCGTCGGTCAAACTCCCGCTCTCGTCGATCGTAATCATTATTAAACGTTCGCTGG